AACCTCAGTCTCATGAAGTTTCAGTAGCCACAGACTCATGAAGTTTCAGATTTATCACAACTTCAGATACAGTCATAGCCTCAGTCTGATGAAGTTTCAGATTTATCATAGCCTCAGTCCATCAGCCTCATGAAATTTCAGATTTATCATAGCCTCAGACTCATGAAGTTTCAGATTTATCACAACCACACGTTTATATTCCAATTCCGTATCACAACCTTTTTCGGATTTACCATAACATCACAATCCTGAAATTCATACCTCAAAATGCACCATTGCATGAATACTCCGAACCCTTATCATACCTTTCCTCTCACCTCTCTCTTCATCCTTCTCTCTATTTCTCCCCTTCATCCTCATCCTCGCCTCTCCCTTTCACTTCTCTCCATCATCTTTTCCCTTCTTCCTCCCTCCAACCATCATTTAGGCTTATCATCGCCTCCCAATCCTGAAATTCATAATACTAGAATGCCGTTTCTTGGCAAGGAAGAAGAAGAAAAAAGAAAAGAAAAAGGAGAAGAGGAAGAAGAGAAGAAAACGGAGAAGGAGAAGGAGAAGAAGAAGAAAAAAGAAGAGGAAGAAAAGAAGGAGAAGAAGAAAAAGAAGATGGTGATGAAGAAGAAGAAGAGGAGGAGGAGGAGGAAGGAAGAGAAGAAGAAGAAGAAGAAGAAGAAGAAGAAGAAGAAGAAGAAGAAGAAGAAGAAGAAGCAAAAGGCAAAAGCAAAGAAGAAGGAAGAAGAAAGAAGAAGAAGAAGAAAGAAGAAGAAGAAGAAGAAGAAGAAGAAGAGAAGAAAGAAGAAGAAGAAAGAAGAAGAAGAAGAAGAAGAAGAAGAAGAAGAAGAAGAAGAAGAGAAGAGAAGAAGAGAGAAGAAGAAGAAAACGTAGACCTTAAAAAGGAAATATTAAAAGGCATCCCGCATGAATCCTTCAGACTGATCATAACCTCAAAATCCTGAAATTCATACCACAAGGACGCGGTTGCTTGAAGAAGAAGAAAAAAAAAAAGATCTAGCCAAAGGAATTATTAAAAGGCAGTGCGTGTGTTCCCTACATATGTTTTTTTTTTTTTTCTCTCTGTCTTTGTCTGTCTCCCTCCCCTCCTCTCTCTCTCTCTTTCCTCCTCTCTCTCTCTCTCTCTCTCTCTCTCTCTCTCTCTCTCTCTCTCTCTCTCTCTCTCTCTCTCTCTCTCTCTCTCTCTCTCTCTCTCTCTCTCTCTCTTCCCCCTCTCTCTCTCTCTCTCTCACCTCTCTCTCTCCCTCCTCTCTCTCTCTCTTCTCTCTCCCTCCCTCTCTCTCTCTCTCTCTCTCTCTCTCTCTCTCTCTCTCTCTCTCTCTCTCTCTCTCTCTCTCTCTTCTCTCTCTCTCTCTCTCTCTCTCTCTTCTCTCTCTCTCTCTCTCTCTCTCTCTCTTCCCTTCTCTCTTCTCTCTCCTCTCTCTCTCTCTCTCTCTCTCTCTCTCTTCTCTCTCTTCTCTCTCTCTCTCTCTCTCCTCTCTCTCCTCTCTCTCTCCTCTCTCTCTCTCTCTCTCTCTCTCTCTCTCTCTCTCTCTCTCTCTCTCTCTCACTCTCTCTCTCTCTCTCTCCTCTCTTCTGCTCTCTCTCTCTCTCTCTCTTCTCTCTCTCTTCTCTCCCCTCTCTCTCTCTCTCTCTCTCTCGTAGCTTCTTCTGGCGTCCACTGTCTCTCCCAGTGGAAGGAAAAGTCATGACACAGATCACATTTTTTTTCTTTTTCTTATTCTTATTCTTTGTGATGTAGAGAGGTCCTATATTCTTTCATTCTTTCTTATTATCCTGAGGTCGTATATTCTTTTGCCTTTTTTTTCTTATTCTTTGCGATCCATTTTTTCCTCTTTCCTTTTTTCTTTATTATTCTTATTCTTTGTAATGCAGAGAGACTGAGGTCATGTATTCTTCAGCGCTTTCTTCTTTTTTCGTTATTCTCGTTCTTTGTAATGCAGAGAAGTAAGGTCATGTATTTTTTAAAACCTTTTTATCTTTATTATTCTCATCCTTGAAATAAGAGCTTGAGTTTTTTTTTACTTTTTCTTTATTTCTTAGGTCATATATACTTTTTCTCTCTCATTTTTATAATCATATATCTTTTACCCTTTTCTTTCTTACTTCCTATTCTTCTCCTTGCCATACAGAAAGCATCTAGTCATAGAATTTTTAAAATTTTTTATTCATATTTCAGAATTTAGTTTTTTTTTTGGAAAGGGTAAGAATTTTGTTTTATTTCTTTAAATGTAAAACTGGAAGTGGTATGTATATAGTCATTACTAAGCCGATTAAACCTGCAGTTTTGCGAGACAAATTTATGAAGAGAAAGTTGTATGATAAGAAAAAAAAATCTTCACTTAGGCTCTGCTAGAATTCATGATTAAAAATTCAACAATACAAAAAGTGTCTTTGAATTCAAATTTATTAAACCCACTTTATTCATAAAAAAAATCTTCCCCTCTTTATTTCATCCTCAAGGAATACATTCATTATTATACAATTATGAATAAATTATCATGTTTTTCATTGTATTATGTTTCGTAGCTCACTTTATCCAGATCGTCTTTGTACTTCTTATACAAACTACAAAAGCAAGGATAAAATTTTATGACTCAATATATGAGTGAAATTGCTACATAAAACTGTCATATATATTCATTGCAGCTAATATCAAAGGTAATAAAACTGTAATAAAAATACCCATACACCTTTCTCTGTGGTTACCGACATTGATACCAACGTATTATAAAATGGTGGTGTCAGGTGATGGCAGCTGGTATTAGGTGGCGGCAGCTGGTGTCTGGTGGCGGCAGCTGGTATCAAATGCTAATAGCTGGTGGTACCTGATCCAGTACTGTTGGCAATTGAATTGTCAAGGATACAGAAGTATGGCGTTACCCAAACAAGTGTGTGTAGTATTTTTGTCTTAGAAGTTAGTATGCGCTCCCTATCATGTATCCACCTAACCTAATATAAATCAAGGTCTATGTATATAAATATATACATACATACATACATATATATATATATATATATATATATAATGAATGTATGTATGTATGTATACATATATATATATATACATATGTATTATATATATATATATATATATATATATATATATATATATATGCTTTAATTGTCTGTATATGTATATGGATGTCCATATGTATATAGACGCGGCCGGGCATCCCGCAGTTCCAACCGACCGGCCTTTAGACCTCACGGAGGCACCAGGACCCAAGACCCGACTCCCGCTCCATCGCCGACGCAGAGCAGGGAGGAGCGAGCGCAGGCAGGGGGCGGCGAGGGCAGCGGCGGCGGGGAAGGCAGGGTGGCAAGAGGTGGCAATGATGAGTCATAAAGAGGTTATATAGAAAGGACGTGGCGATTGTGGTCGAGTAACAAATGAAAAAAAGATAAAAAAAAAAAAAAAATGAAAATAAGAATTATTTTTTTTAAAGATCCGGGCCTCTGTGTTGTCTGGTTATATTTCCATTTTTTCTCTTCTTTTTTTCTTCCTCCTTTTTGAACGGTGCCTTTCGTGGGTCTTCAGCAAAGGGACGAGAGCGAAGAGAGAGAAAAAAAAGAAACGAACGTTCTTTACAAAGACATGACACGAAGAGGACATGTTTTGTCATGAGGGAGTTGAAGGGGAAGACGCCGTGAACATGAGCCATGATTCACGTGGTGGTAAACAAGACATGGGTTCTCCTGGGCACGTAGTATATACCCTGTGTGATTCATTTATTTACAGCGCGAGAGAAGCTTTAAAGCAGCCTCGCCCCGAAGCACTTACGGTTAAAGCTGAAACGTTGGACCCGCACTGCCTCCTCTTTCTCCTCTTCTTCCTCCTCCTCCTCCTCCTCTTCCAGCTCTTCCTCGTCTACGCCATCCTCTCCTCCTCTTCTTCTCTTCCCGTATGTTCTTTTCCTTGTTCTTCGGTCTCCATTATTCTCCTCTTTCTTTTCTTCTGTCTCCTACCTCCTCTTCCTTGCATCTCTCTTCTTCCCCTGCTCCTATCATCTATCTTCTCTTACTCTTCCTCTTTTCTTCATCAATTCCCTTTCCTCTGATCTTCACCTCCTTCAGTGTACTCCTCATCTCCTCCTTTCTTACCAATCACTCCCCCGATCTCCTTTACCTCATCGTCGTCGTCCTCCTCAGTCTCTTCTCTCTCATCTCGTCCTTCTCTCCTCCCCTTCCTCCTTCCCTGCTATAATCTCCTCGTCCTCTATCTCGTCCTCCACCTCCTCAATCTCCCTTTTCCACCTCAGCTCCACCACCGCCTCGTCCTTTTCCTCCTCCATCTTCTCCTCGCCGTCCACCTCCTCTCCTTCTCCTTCTCTCTTCGTTCTCTCCTCGTCTTCTACATCTCCTCCTCTTCGTCCTCTCCTTCTCTTCTCCTTTTCGTCCTCTCCTCGTCTTCTACCTCTCCTCCTCTTCGTCCTCTCCTTCTCTTCGTCCTCTCCTCGTCTTCTACCTCTCCTTCTCTTCTCCTCTTCGTCCTCTCCTCCCCTTCGTCCTCTCCTTCTCTCCTCTTCTCCTCCAACAGCAGGTCCCGGCGCTATGCTGTGGGATTGGCTTTGCAGAGGCGCCGGAGTCGGACCCAACAGAGGTTTTAACGCTGGCGAATATCTGGTTATGGTGAGTTTCATACCTGTTAAACCGGCGTTATTGTAAGTAGGAAAGAATTAGCTATTTGCCGTTCCATGGTCGTTGCACTAACATTAAATGCATGCATTAAAACAACGAGTGAAAGGCTTTCAACGAGTGTTTTGTCAAAAATCCAATTGCTGTGGGATTTTTTTTTTTTTTTTTGTTTGCCTTTCTTTATTTACTGGTACAATCTATCTTATAATTCAAAAGAAAGTTATTTTTTCCTATAAACTGATATGAAACACGCTATCTATATATGAAACACGTTATTTATATTTTTTTTCCCTTCCCTCGTTTCTCAACATCTTAACCAAGCCCTCCTTTTCACTTTCTTGAACACCTGATTATGTCATATCATCAGCCTCGATTAGAACGTAGTTGCCGCAGTCATTTCCATACACTTGTAGCATAAACATTCGTAAGGGCAAATATGCTTCGTTTCTCGAGGGAATATTCGCCTTTATGAACCCGTTATGAGTCTTATGAGTCTGAAAGTGGGGTATATTCACGGTTGATGATCTGGAGTCGCTACATACACATACTTAAAACTTTGATAATACAATATATACCTACATGCATACGTGTCTGTCTACACAAGTACAGACACATAGTTGACACATACTAAATTACATAACACTATATCGTGTACGGATACACACACACGCACACACACACACACACACACACACACACACACACACACACACACACACACATACACACACACACACACACACACACACACACACACACACACACACAACACCATATATATATATATATAATACATATATACATATATATATATATATATATATATATATATATATATATATGTATGTATGTATGTATGTGTATATCTATATGTATATGATGTGTTCATACATACACACGCTAAGACGCACACCCTTAGCTATATACATACATACACGCATACATGATATGAAAGCATAAACGTCACCAATCATAAATATCTTATAGAAGTTCTAGCAAGCATTTTTTTCCTGAATAAAGATATTCAACAACGTAACAATTCATTTAAATAATCGTTAAGTCTAACAAGTATACATTCCAGTCGCGTTTATAGGGATTAGCACAACTACCTGTTAGCGAACGAACGACTTGCTATGACAACGAACAACGGGCCTGTTCATGAACATATGTAGTTCTGCCGATAGCACTACATATAGCAACAGCATAAATACACAACCGGTTTGATAAAACTGCGATGCCCGACCCAATGAATATCCATATACATATACCAATGAATATCCTTGCATATACACCGAAATAAATGCATATCTATCAGTCTAGGCATGCATATCTACCTGATAGATAGAAAGATAAATGTATATCTGTCGAGACATACAGATCTCCTGGATAGATAAAAAGATAAATGCATATCTATCCTGTATGTAGACAGCTATGCATATATTTCTGAGTATATACATGTACCTATTTAAAGATATATACATGGGCTGGACGACAGTGTAGATATACAATCATGAACATCCCAGCAAAACATATGGAGAGAGAGTTGTTTTATTCGCATATTCATGAGATGTCTGTTATAGGTGATGCTAAGGATGAATAGAAATGAGCATGTCTGTTTCGATGTCATGTCTTTTGTGTAGCGGTGACTCTGGCCAACAATGGTAGACTCACTCAAAGACTAATGTTTTTTTTTTTCTTATATACATATCAAAGCATAGGTTTTGGCAAGGCAGTGTTATAAATTAGGATGTGTGGAGACTCATCTATGACTGATTTTTTTATGGAATTATCAAAACACGGGTTTAGGTAACGCAATGATAAGAGATTACCCCGTGTGGAGATATTGAAATGATTTTTTTGTATGGAATAATCAAGCCACGGGTTTTGGTAACGCAGTAATATAGAGTACCTTGTATGGAGGCGCTGGAGTCTATAATTAAATTTTTTCTATGGAATTATCAAAACAGGTTTAGGTAACGTAGTAATAAAACTACCCCGTGTAAAGACATCTATAACTGATTTTTTTTTTTTAATGGGAGACATATCCATAATTGATGTTCTCCTATGGAATTATCATCAAAACACGGCTCCAGGTAACGCAGTGATACAGATTACCCCGCGTGGAGACAAATCTCTGACGTTTCCTATAATAGCCATCTCATAGGTTGGCACAATTTTTAGATGACTGCAATGGATATACATATGTGTGTGTGTGTGTGTGTGTGTCTCCTCTGAGAACAAAGGGTCTTCCCCGTGGGCGAGCGCAAAAAAGGGAAGGGAAACGGGAGAAGAAAATTTCCCGTTTCCGCAAATATTAAGCGGCCGCGAGCGTGTTCTCAGAGGCAGTTAATTGCGTTGCGATTGGTTGTACAGTGAAGGGGACCTGACCTGAACCTGACCTGAAACTGGACATGACATGACATGACCTGACCTGACTCTCTCTCTCTCTCTTTCTCTCTCTTCTTCTCTCTCTCTCTCTCTCTCTCTCTCTCTCTCTCTCTCTCTCTCTCTCTCTCTCTTCTCTCTCTCTTCTCTCTCTCTTCTCTTTCTCTTCCTATCTTCTTTTCATTTTTCTTTTTTTTCCTTTCATCTCCTTCGCTTTCATTTTTTGTTATATTTTTCCCTCTCTTCTATGCTTTCTATTTCATCTCTGCGGTTTTCGCTTTTTCCTATCTTATTCCTTTTCCTCTCTCTTCCTTTGCTTTCCTAATCTTATCCTACTTTCCATTTTTCCATTTCTCTTCTTTCGCTTTCCCTTATACATATTTTTTTCTCTCTCCTATCGCTTTCCTTTCTTATCTTCTTTCTCCTTCCCTCCTCTTTCTCCCTCCCTTCAATTTCTCCCTTCCTCCGTCCTCCTCCTCTCTTTCTTTTCCCTTCCTTCCTCCGTCCTCCTCTCCTCTCCTCCCCTTCCTTCCTTCGTCCATCCCCCTCCCTTCCTCCCTCCTCCTCCTTTCCTCTCTTCTCCTTCCTTCCTCTCTCTCCTCTCCCTCCCCCTCCCTTCCTCCTCCTCCTCCCTTCCTTCCTCTTCTTTCTCCTCCTTCCTCCTTCCTCCCTTCTTCTCTCCTTCCTCCCATCCCCTCTCTCTCCTCTCTCCTTTCTTCTCCCTTCCTCCGTCCTCCCCCTCCTCTTCATCCTCCTCCTCCCTTCCTCCACTCTCCTCCTCCTCCCCTCCTCCTCCTTTCCTCACTCCTCCTCCTCCTCTTCCTCCTCCTTCCCCTTCCTCCTCCTCCTCCTCCCCTCCGACCTACTAACACAGCGGAATCTCAAGCAAACGAACCTCATCTTTATTAATACCTTAAACCTGAATAATATAAACTTCGACCGCGGGGGTAAGGGGGGTGGGGGGTGGGAGGGGGTGGGAGGGGGGGAGGGGAACGAATAGCTAATCTCTCCCAATCGATTCACTGTGTCTGTATCTCGTGTAAGTATTTTTTTTTCTATTTTTTCTATTTCTATTTATTTATTTCTATTGTTTTTTTATATTTTGATTCTTTGTTTATATTCTTTTTTTTTCTGACTTTCCCCCAATTGATTCACTGCGTCTGTATCTCATCGACCTTCGAGGTATTTCTTATTTTTCGTTTCAATTCTTATTTTTATTCTTTTTTTCATTCCAATTCCTTATTTCTCTTCTCTTTTTCTTAATTTCCCTTCAATCGACTCACTGCGTCTGTATCTCATCGACCGGCGAGGTGTTTCTCTTTCTTTCTATTTCAATTCTTCATTTCTCTTCTTTTTTTTCTAAATTTCCCCCCACCCAATAGATTCACTGTAGTATTTTTTCCATTTCAATTCTCTCTATTCTTTTTTCATTCCGATTCCTTATTTCTCTTTTTTTTCTTAATTTCCCTCAATCGATTCACTGCGTCTGTATTTCATCGTCCATCGAGGTGTTTCTCTTTCTTTCTATTTCAATTCTTTATTTCTATTTTTTTTTTCTTACTGATTCACTGTGTCTGTATCGCATCGACCGGCGAAATATTTTTTTTCCTATTTCAATTCTTCCTTTCTATTTTTCTTTCTTAATTTCCCCCCAATCGCTTCACCGTCGATTTTTTTTTCTATCTAAATCTTTTATTTCTATTATTTTTTCTTAATTTCCTTCTAATCGAGTCATCTGTACCTCATCGACCCGCGAGGTATTTCTTATTTTCCATTTCAATTCTTTCTTTCTATTTCCATTTTCTCTCATTTCTTCATGGGGACGGACGGAAATTTGCATATAAATCATGGGACTTGGAAGTGTCTTATCTCGGCTGTGAGTGACGGGGATAAGGACAGAGGGGGGGGGAGGGGGATGGTGGTGAGGCATTGGTGGTGATTTCTGTGGTGACGGGTCTGTGGCGGTGATTGGTCTGTGGTGGTGATTTCTGT